ATTTATAAATATTATTTAATAAGTATAAATACTAATGAATACCCGTGCATCGCACGGGATTCGTACTAGTTATTAACAAAAGCGTGATTTTTGTATTTTCCTTTCCCTACACAATTATTAAGATTCGTGGCATGTAAATTTTACAAGATTTCGGTATGAAAATTTTTATATCATGAAAAATTTTATAAGCTAGTCAAAATAATGCAAATATTGACTTTTTGAGAACCAGGTTGCATTTTTCAATGTGTGCAAAATTGCAAATCTTATAGTATCATTTTTTCATACGACTTGTCATTATTGCCCTTTTAAATTATCACGTTATATTATATTTAACAATTTGTCACAAATGATATCTTTGAACGGTTTGACCGATTCTTTTAAAGAATAATTTATGTCATAAAATTTTAATGTTGAATCACTTAGGAATTTACTAAAATATCTATATATATTAATATAAAAATATATTAAGAATTTACTAAAAATAGTATTTAAAACTTAACCTAAAAAGTAAAGTTATTAATAAAGGAAAATTGTTATCTTTTTTTTTTTTTTGGTACCTTTTCAATATTTTTTTATCTTAAATTTGCCAAGTTAATTCTTCTAAAAATTACTCCCTTCATTTTATTATAACTTGACATGATATCATGATATCCATTAGGGGTTTCTTTGAATGTCTTTCTCGGACATCTAAATGTGTTTGAATTTTTTAACTTATATAAATATGAGATATCATTTATTTTTTGACATGATATCTTTGATGGATACAAGATATACACTATAAGATTGTGATGAAATTCCAATAGAAAATTCTAACGTAAATATATTTTATTCGAATTCCAATGGATATTTCAATACTATTATTTTCGTTGTGAATTCCACGGAAAACCCAACAAAAATATTCCATGAGAGTGAAAAAAAATTTATACAGAAAAACATGTTAATAAAATATTATTAATATTTGTATGAAAATAAAAAAATTATTTGATGTATTTGACTACACATGACAGAAAAACTTTATGCTAAAATATAGAAAATTTAAGTAAACATTTATTTCAAGCATAATTAACATGTATTACTATAACTAGTCCAGAGCCCGTGTGATGCACGAGGTGCACAATTTTAAGGCTATTTAGCGAGATTATTATTATATACATGAATAAAGAAAAATATACGGGATATATATTGTACGTGCCCGTGCGATGCACGAGATATATTTATTTGGAGAATATTATATTATAAAATACAATATTAAATAAAGAGATTTATAATATACAGGGAAATTGTACAATAAGATAGTATTCGACAAAGATACAAATATATATTATTAAAGACCTCCTTGTACACAACATTATGAGTTTGATTATTAGTCAACTCGATATTCTCACAAACTAATATCTTCAACCCACTTCTATTAGTTACACGTGAAACATCAACATAAAATAAAGACATTTAATGACGTGGCAACCTGTACATTTTCTATATACATATTAAACATTTTCATGTTAAGAATAAATAATTGATTGAGGCTATAAAAATGAGCGAAAATTTTTATAATTTCATTAATTAGATAGCCTACAATTATATATTTATATATTTATAGATTCAGGATATAATTCTATTTGTCATAAAGGACGTTGAAATCCAGTCCCATTCAACACACGGTTTTGCATTCTTCCTTACAATACTAATAATGTTAATGGAGAAAGAAAAACATGTTCCAATTGGAAAGTTAGGAGAGAATTATTAACAAAGCGTGATTTTTTGTATTTTCCTTTCCCTACACAGCTACACTATATAATTCTATTTCTCATAAAGGACGTTGAAATCCAGTCCCATTCAAAACAAGGGTTTGCATTATTCCTTACAAAACTAATGTTAATGGAGAAGAAAACATGTTCCAATTGGAAAGTTTGGAGACAAACAAAGCGTGATTTTTGTATTTTCATATCCCTACACAATTATTAAGATTCGTGGCATGTAAATTTTACAAGATTTCAGTATGAAAATTTTTATATCTTGAAAAATTTTATAAGCTAGTCAAAATAATGCAAATAATGACTTTTTGAGAATCTTATATCATTTTTTTCATATGCCTTGTCATTGCTCTTTTAAATTATCACGTTCCCCTATATATTAATTTAGAATGTGCTGAGCCTATGTGACAGACTCGCATGCTTTGGGATTCTGTAACGTCCCGCTTTTATTTGTTAAAATTCAGGATAAATTTTTCAAATTTATTTTTCTAAAAAACACT